TACAATGCCATGCTTCTCAAGAGAGATGCTCTCCTTGAAAGAAGCCTGCGATGGTGATGCCCTTACAGCATCTGGGAGCCTCGGCACCATCGCTCTTGCAAACGGACTCTCGCCTCGAGACGATAGGGGGTCCCTGGTTGGGCGCCAGGGTTCCGTTTACACAGCAGAAAATGAAAACAAAATAATTAGCAATAAAACCAGTCCATGAGACACTAATCTCTATATTTTAAGCCAGGGCCCAGTTTTTCCTCCTCTGATCAGCTCTTGATCTGAATTATTGACTAACTGTGGCATCACGGTCTTCCTAACCTGCCATCCAACCCCGCAGCGTTCCCCCTAACTCGGGTTCCCTGAGAGGGACATGGACGCTACAAAACATTGGCAAAGAAACCCCAATTCCTGATCACATTTGGTCCTGGGTCACATCATCCTGCAGAGCCTGCATGGTGAATTGATGTTCTGGGGCAAGAGAATTACGCATGCGGGAACTACAGTAATTATGTTAATTAAGGAGGCCTTTTTGTTGTGAGGTTGCCAATGCAGGAAGCAGCTTGTGTGAGAGATTTACAGTAGAAGTCCTAAAAATAGGACCCCCAGATGTGCCCCAGTGGGTGATGACAGAGGGAGCTGGAAGGTTAATCTGGGAACAAAGAAAATGTGCTGGAACCAAACATGAACAAGCCGCGGCACAAGGTCTGAGACTGTGAACGTCATGAATAAGACAGTGGACCTGGGGAGGGCTGAGGGAGGGGCAGGCAAGAGGCAGAAAGCTGTGCAAAGAAGCATCTTCTCTGCAAATTCATGCGCGGAAAGAAAATGTCAAGCCGAGAACTAATTTTAAACAGCAAAGAACATAAAGGTTGCACCGTTGCTGATCAGAAAGGAGGTCAGTGCGAGTCAAGAAAATGACGAATCGCTTTATTTTTTTAATTTCCAGAAAGAATCCTTATCTCTGTGTAGGAATTTCTCTGTTTCCAAACCTGTTAAGGCATCATCTGTTCCTAAAAGGAAAACAAACAAAATCCTCTTTCATGAACCGAACTGCCGCCTGCAGCTTCAGCTCCAGGGTTCTGCCTCCTTTCCTGGCCATGGGTCTGCAACAGCAGGCCATGCCCACTCTCACCTTTTTCCCCCTTAACCCTGAGAATCGTGCCTCCCACCCTCACCTCTTCACTGAAACTGCTTTAGGACAGCTCTGATCCCCTCGTCAAGTGAAGTCAACCTCTCTCCTTGGAGCCACATCATCCTTGGCCACTCTGTGGCGATCAGAAGTGTTATCTCAGATCTGACATTCGGCCCTCAGAATGGTCTTTGTTTTGGTGTCAGTGATCCGTTAGGCGTGTGGTTCTCTAACCACTTTGCAACTCTCTCTGGCCGTGGTTTCACCCAGAATCAGAACCTCCTGAGGGCTTGTTATAAAGCAGATTGTCGGACTCCACCCCCAAAGTGTTTGAGTCAGTAGATCTAGGCGGGACCCGGAATTTGCATGTCGAACAAGTTCCCAAGTGATGCTGATGTAGCTGGTCCAGAGACCGCTCTTGAAGAACCACAGCTGGAGTAGTTGGCAACCCAGGAGGTGCACTAAAGTTGCCCAGGGCTAGAGTGCTTTTAAAACTACAATGCATAGGCCCCACCCTGACCCAATTTGGTGAGAATATCTGGGCTGGGGTCTGGGTTGACTCTGTGATTCTAACATGCGCTCAGAGCTGACAGTCTCTGCATTTGCCTCCTTCCCCAGTTCCACTTTGTCATGCCCAGCTCTATGGTGGCCATGTGTCAGGCTCAGTCCCTCAGATCTTTGCCCTTCAAGCTCAGTGGTCTCTCATTCTAGGTGGAAAATTATGAGGCAGTACCTAAAGCAGTGGCTCTGGAGAAAGAGACACAGTCAGCTTTGAGAGGTATTCAAGATCTAGAAATAACTCTACTTAATGACGAATTAAATATAGGCACTAGAAGAGACAAATAATTAACTTATTTAGTAGTAGGTACAGTAGGTAGTATTACAGCCCTTTTCAAATACTGAGAAGACCACCGTTAACATCTTCCCCCAGTAGCTTTACACAAATATGCCAAAACCTGTGTCCACCAGATAGAAAATACTTTATCTTGTTAAAGAACAAAAATTCAACCCAGGGGCCAGCCCTATGGGGTAGTGGTTATTTTTGGCATGTTCTGCTTTGGCAGTCCAGGTTTGTGGGTTTGGATCCCAGGCATGGACCTACACCACTCGTCAGCCATGCTATGGTGGTGACCCACATATAAAGTGGAGGAAGATTGGCACCGATGTTAGCTCAGGCTAATCTTCCTCAAGCAAAAAAAAAAAAAAAAAGAGGAAGATTGGCAACAGATGTTAGCTCAGGGCCAATCTTCCTCAGCAAAAAAAAAATTCAATGAGAAATTTAAAGCTCTAATCAGCTGTATTCAGTGATTCATGAATAAGGCAGCATCTCATCCAGCAAATAGACAGGAGCTCCAAGGAGTTATACAAAAATGGAAAGCCTTTGTAGGCAGAAAGGGGGTGGGACAGAGAAGTTAAAGAGTGGATTATTTCAGGCAAGGTCACCTTCCCTTAGGGGAAGGCAGGGGTCTTCTCAGGCAGATGACCTGACTAGTGTTGGTCAGGAAATTCCACTCCCGGGAGAGGCTGACACTGCAGTTAGGTTAGACATCACGTCTCAGCAGGGCTTAGCACAAGTGACTCCATTCTGGGCCTGTTGTTTCTTTTTAATGCTCATCTGCTAGGGGATCAGAAGGCATAACTCCCCTTGGTATTTTGCTAAAAGAGTCATCAGGTTGATTGGAAAACAAGGTTTTGTTTTCATTTTGTTTGTTTCACATTCTTGAAGGTTTCCTTTCTTTTCTTTTTTTCCTGATAAATCCACATGTCAGTAATAACACATTTGCTATTTGTGTTTTGCGTCTATTTTCTTTCTCTCTACACACATTCATGCACAAACAGCTTTTCTCTTCCTTTTCTTTTACTTCTTTTCCCCTCTTTGCATTCAAACTAGTCATTTGTTCCAGGAATACAAGACAGATCAATATTAAAACATTTATCTATAAAATTCATTACAACAAATTAAATATGTAGGCAGTGAAAAGGCTTTTGATAAATATCACCAATCACAACTATTGCTGAAATAAACAGAAATTCTCTGAGCGTGATAAACACTAGTGTCAAAGCCTACGGCCCACTATCTGACTCCATGTAAAATAAGAAGCAATCTCAGTGAAAAGAAGGAAAATAGGGAGCCTTCAAGCATCGCTTACATTCAACATTGTTTTGGCAATTCTAGCTGATGCAATTATAAAAGAAAAGAAAATGAGTGGTATAATCTTGGAAATGAAAAGAGCAAATTATCTTTATTTATAGATTACATAACCATATGCCTAGAACACACAAAAAAATATGGCAATAATTTTTTTTAAATTATTAGAATTAAAAGGCAAATTTAAATCTTTTTAAAAAGTCTAAAAGGGAGCTGGTGGTATAGTGGGGTTAAGTTCGTGCACTCCGCTTCGGCAGCCCAGTGTTGGCGGGTTTGGATCCTGGGTGTGGACCTACACACCACTCATCAAGCCACACTGCAGCAGCGTCCCACAGAAAACAGAGGAAGACTGGCACAGATGTTAGCTCAGTGACAATCTTCCTCAAGCAAACAGAGGAAGATTGGCAACACGTTAGCTTAGGGCCAATCTTCCTCTCACACACACACACACACAAAAGTCTAAAACATACACAAAAATGCAAAAATTGCCTTCGTACTAGCAAGTTATTTAGAATGAAAAGGAAGTTTAAAAGAAAATTCCATTAATGCTCACATTAGAAAATTTCAATTGCTAAGGAATCAACTTAACAAAAAAGGTCTATGTGACGAGTACAGGGAAAACATAAAATAAGATCGAAATAAATGGATAGAATAAGTTAATATCACAAAAAAGTCAATCTTTCTCAAAATTAAATTAACTTCCTATAAAAAGGATTCTTTAATGAAAATGGACAACATGATTTGAAATTTTATCTTGAAACATCAATGTGTAAGAATTGCTAAGATAATGTAGAACAAAGAAGAGTAAGTGAGAGACCCTGTATGAATTGGTGCGATCAGAATAGTGTGGTAGTGGCCCAGGACTGGTCAAAGGAACCGGTGGGAAAGAGGAGAGAAACAAATCCCAGTATATACAGGAACTTAATACACGATGAAGGTGGTTTAAATTCATTCGTGAAAGAATGGTTTATTTTATGAATGAGACTGGAATAATTGGCTATTCATCTGGAATAACGCAATGTTAGTCTCTTACTTCAGGCCATAGACGAAAATAAACTTCAGATGGATTAAAGATCTAATGTAAAAAACACAGAGGAATAATGATTATTGGGAGAAAATTTAGGCGAATACTTATCTAGCCATTGGGTGAGAAAGTTCTTGTTAAGCAAGAAAGGAACTTAAAAGTCATTAAAAAAAACTAAGTACATTTTATATCAAAGATCAACAGTGTCTAAACGGCAAAGCACATGGTAAACAAAGTCAAGGGGTCTATGACAGATGGGAAAAGGTGTTTGCCATTATCCAAGAGTCAAGCGTTAATATCCTTGCAGTACAAAGAAAGACAAAGGAACTTTTTAATCGAATGAACAGCAGACAGATTGGCGTCGGATAACACACAGGAAATGTATCCAGTATTCCTATATGAAAACGTATGAAAAAGAGGGTCAGTCTCACTAGTGAACAGGCAAGTGCAAATCAAAACGCAAATAGGATGCCATTCTCCACCGTCCTGTTAGAAACAATGCAGAGACTAGTGAGGAGGAGGAGGAGGAGGAGGAGGAGATGTCTATACCATGGTGCCAGCTGCTGTTCTAAGCACTTTACAAACACAGTCATGGGCCCAATAACCACGTTTCTGTCAATGATGGATGGACCGCATGTAAGATGGTGGTGCCATAAGATTAGTACCATATAGTCTAGCTGTGTGGTAGACTATACCATCTGGGTTTGTGTAAGTACCTTCTATGACGTTGGCACAACAATGCAATCGCCTAACGACGCATTTTTCCGAATGTCTCCTCGTGGTTAAGAGGCACCTGAATGTAATAGCTCATTTAATCTTATCAGCAACTCCTGCAATGGGCACTATTTTTACCCCCATTTTATAGATGAGAGAACTCTATATACCCATCTGAAATACGGTTCTCATAGAACAATGCTTATCCTTACTGCATTCAGAGTTCTCCAGTAACTTCTAGTCTATGTTACTTTACTTAAAAATTCCTGGTCAGGACCCAGTAAATTAATTTTGTGATACATAAATGGTTAAACCCCCAGTTTGAAGAACACTAACCTAGAGAGATGTTCATAAAATACTGAATTAGAATAACAAGTTTCTGAGCAATGTGTATACTGAGATCTCATTTACGGAAGAAGAAAGAAAGGGGAGGGGAGAAAGGAAAGAAAGTGGGAGGGGAGAAAAGGAAGACGCATCCTCTATAGGAGTCTGTGCTTGGTGGAGATGTGTCTGTGTTTATGAGCACAGAAAAAGGTGTGGAAGGAGCCACACCGAACTGTTCACATTGGTTACCTCAGGGGGTGACGTGGTGGGACAGAGATTTTCAGCTTTTCCTTGTATATCTCTGTTTTGTTTGTCATGCTGCAAAAAGAATACTTTGCATTTGGAGTTTTTAAAGAATAATTCAACAAACTAGGACGAAAGAGTTCTGCAATTTGTAAATTTCTGTGCTCTGGGATAAAGTAGAAGTTTTTCTAATTTTATTGCATCTCATGCTTGAATGGCTCCCATTCAGGATTTGGCCTCATTTATTAAAAAAATAAATCTTTCCGTTTCATCCATAAAACCTATTGGGAGAGGGATAAAGCTGATGATGGTGTCTTCTTATCAAGGGAGGAGGGTAAATGATTATTCTCACCTACGATAATAACGTAATTGAATGAAAGGAAGAGGATCTCCACGGGAAAATATCCAAGAAAAGTCATGAAAGATGTTTGCAGGGGAGAGGTATGATTCCATTTGAATGAACTTTCACTCATTCATTTGTTCATTCAACATGCACCTGATTTGATTTATTTTGCCCTTTGCCATACCAAAACTGCCTCCTCTCTTTATATTTTGCACTTTCCAGATAATAGCTCACTTCATTGCTAGAGGTTCCCCTATACCAGAAGGGTTAGTATCCCCTTTAGGTCTTCCTGCAACTGAATTGTTCAAGCTTCTGCGGGCTTATTCAGTTCAAACATCAAACAAGCCTGGTTCCTTCTTCCAAAGGCTAAGGGAGAAAAAGTAATTAGAATTTTCAATCACCTTCTGTGGTTGTTGGTGCTGTTTTCCAGCTCCAACTTCACACACTAGGACTGCACTACCCTGCCCACACAGTGGGGTTAGGTGCAGCTAGAGGTCTTGCTTTGGCCAATGAAATGAGAGAAGTGCTGTCTCATTTAAGATCCAGTGTGTGAATCTGCACATCCTTTTCTGCCTCTGCAATGATGGAAGCAGGTACCAGGAAGCAATCACCGTCAGCCTGAGACCTCGTGATGGATATACACAGAGAGTGAGAAAGAACCCCATGTTGTGTTAAGCCACTGAAACTTCAGTACCACTTCTTACCACAGCATAACTTAGCCTATCCGGACGGATGCCCTCCATGAGCACTTAAGTCTTAATTGCAAACTCCTGGTATGCATTCCTGATAAGACCAGTACCTCGCCAACAAAAGAATGTTTGCCCACTGCTATGGTGATGTCTTTACTCTCTTGAAATGTGCCAGAGCCCAAGTGGTGCACACAGTGTCCTTCACGACTTCACGAATATTTTTAGTTACGCTCAAATTCTTAACCATTGTTTCCCCTGAAACACAACACCTTTGCCCGGGTGGATGAGTACAGAGCAGCTTGTAGGCTCAGCCATCAGCTACACAGGAATCCTCAGTGACCCCTGGGATCAGTGTTGCGCTCAGGTCACCAAGGCAACTGCTCTCCTCATGGGGGGTTTCTCTTTGGAATCCTTGCAGTCCTTATCCGATCAAGAATCTCGGTCAACGCCACTTTGGGCCACCTGATTATGCTTAAATAATTTCAAATACTGGGCTATGGGGTTTAGATTTTGATCTCTTGCCCATGGAAAACACCAGGTTCCACATGCAATGGGTGAACCCCTTCCAAGGATTCATATTAAAGGCTAAAGAGTCTCGGGGAGAAGCAGCCTTCATCAATACGAGGAAGGTTTGGTTACATCAGTGCTGGGCTGGAGCCGGCTCACACAGGCTCCTGAGAACCAATCCGTGCATCTCTTCTCGGCTCTACCCTCAGGGACTCACGTTGGTAACTTGAAATCAACCATGATGGGAATATTTACACAATAGGAATTAGCAATTGCTACAAATCAGGATTGTTGTTGTTTCCTTGGAGATCCAGCTGTTAAACATTTACCAGCACACGACTGATTGCATCTATCCTCCTCCCGGACAGGCGCCCACACCCTTACAATTCCATAATTGAGAGCGCTCACTGAAGTGCTTCTTCCTGCAATGAGGAAAATCATTCTACCTTTTCTTGCTATTTGCCCCTGTGACTCAGTAGTCACTGACTTACTTTTAAATTTCACTTCACTTGATACTCTTGTATAAAGAAACTATGTGCTGGGGACTAAGAATACGATGACAAGCAAAACAAATTCTCCCTTTTCTGTTAGAACTTCATTTTAGAAGTCTAGAAGGTCAAGGACAGCAAGGACTAGCATAAAATATTTTTATTGTATACTACCTTTTATTTGTCATTTTTGTTTACCTTCGTTTCCTCAGAGTTACTGAGTTAATTTGTGCCATTATTTCAGGTACAGTAATTGTCGTAGCCAATGGTTACTGCTTTGTTTGGCCAATAGCACTTCCTTTTGGGAACTGCTCTGCTCCACACCATGTAATTCTAGTAGAACTCTCAATCAAGAAGCCAGTGTCCCCTGCCCCTATGATCCATATATGGCTGAGGGTCGCAAGGATGTCCCACTCCCCTGGATAGAGACACTCTTCCAGGATAGGCATGTGGCCCAGCTGTGGGCAATCCGAATCCTTTCGCAGGGGCAGATATGGATTCTGGAAGTCTGAAAGGTCTTCGATCCTTCCAAGAGCATGAGCTATGAGAACCCTAAAGGCCTGGGGAAGTCCCATCACATGGAGATGGTCTGTAATAGTGAAGCCAACACAGATGAAAGCAGACCTAGGAAATGGGGAGGAAGGCAGGGAGGGGACATGATGAGATTGTTTATTTGAACCTCAAATCCTCGCCTAACCAAACTAACCTGTGGGCTCTTCAGATACAAGGGCCAATCAACTCCTCTTGGCTTAGACTAAATCGAGTTGATTTCCTATCAGGCGGACAGAATCCTGATTAATGCAACAAAGTAAGGGAGAACTTCGGAAACAGCATTCTGTCCCTGGTGAGTTTCAGACATGGGGCCAGGTAGAAGAGCTGATGGCAGGTGTGAAGGAAATCCAGCAGACAATCACAGGGGCCTGTAGGAGCAGAGGGACCCCGAGGGATCCAGGTTTGTAGGAGCTCGGGCTCATGTGCAGTCCATCTCCCTGGCTTGCAATACAGTGCAGAGGCATCCAAGATCTGTTTACGTCTATGAGAGAGACGCAGACACAGAGATAGATGTCTGTAGAGAAAACAATCATCTCCAGGTGAAGAAAAACAGGAGAGAGGTGAGATTTTCCAAAAGCTGTGCTACGGCTAAAATCTTTGCAAGCAAGTCTTTTATTCTCTTTCCCCTCTTTTCCTTGTGATCCTCAATGGAAGCAATGAGAGCAACCCAACTGCACTTGTGAGTTTAAGATTGTCAATGTCACCTTCTCCTGCCCCCTTAGTCTCTGCTTTCCTCTCCTCTCTCCTCTTCTCAGGCCTTGACTTTGGTTATCCTCTCAACTGTGGGGAAACTCAACACGCACATATGTACTGAGTTGCTACCAATGGCTTTTTGGCTTAAGAGTTGATTATTCTCTTCATTTGTTTCTATTTTTCCAGCATGCAGCTCATCTTTAGTTATTCAACCTGGAGAAGAAACAAGAACATAGGTTATAGTACAGGAATTTGCTGAACATTGTGGAGATAAGAAGTGGTGGGGGTGGGCTCTAACTGCAGGAGTTTTGAGGAGTGACAAGGAGTTGAGAATAATGGAGACATCAGTGATGTTTGGGTATAAAGGGAAGGTAAGAGGTCAATAGCCAGAAGGGTGATGACTACTTTAAAATTTTATTCTACTCATTTGGAAAAAGGCCCACTTCCTGTGGTCTGAGCAATGGGAGGAGTCTAAGAGTCCACACCCCTGGACTCCTGAAGTCATCACCATCTCGCTTTCTGGAGTAGCCAGTCTGAGATGATGTGCTCTGTAGATCCAGAAGGTGTCCAGAAATCTGCCGAGACACATGGTAGGGTTAATTAGCTGTAGAGAACATGGATTCCTCCATGAATTGTGTGCCAAACTAAGAGCTAAATCACGATGTGCTCCTTCTAATTTGGGGTGGTCTTTCAAAATCAGAACTTCTGGCAAACAAAAGTAAAACCACAAATTACACCCAAAGTAATATACACTATGGACTATCCTAGATCCTTTGAGATCCATGAAAATGATCTCACTTTCAAGAGAAACTCCCCATCTGTGCTGGAAGTGCATGTCCTCCCATGAGAGACTCGGAGCAGGCTGCAGTGATGGAAATCCTCCTGAGGAGGGCGCTGGAGCAGGTCGAACTGCCTGCATCATGAGTGCGCAGAAAGTAGCCATGTCTCAAGCCTGTGTGTCATTTCATGAATCCGTGTGAGGAAAAACTATCAATCAGACTGATCATTTTTTATCCATTCGGTCATTTACATACTCAATAGACTGTCCCAGGCACAGTGCAGAGCACCAGACAGACCCGCAGTTAACAACAACAACAACAAAGCTAAAAGGCAGTTCTTGCCTTTCAGATTTTAATGAGAGAGATAATATGATAATAATATAGAGTAAATGTATTGTAATCACAGAGGGGTGCACAACGTGCTATGGAAGTATGGGGGGAGAGAAGGAAAAGCTGAAATCTGGGTTCACAGAGCTGGTGAGAAACAGGGATAAATGCCAGTGGCCTGACACAAGAGACCTAAGCACTGGGTCCCATCTGTTTAATTGTATGATACCGGGGAAACCGGCCTCAGTTTCCCCACTGGAAAACTGAGAGTGGCCCGTAGAGTTCTATGGTTGTCATGGCATGTGTGTGAGGGTGTGTGTGTGGGTGTGTTTTAACTAGCAATGCATCTGCTGGGCAGAAACGATTTGTACCCAGAGCAGAATTGAAAGCCGGCTGAGAGAAGGAAAAGCGCACAGGCCGTCTTTATCTTTCTGTCCGTTTCCAAACACAGCGCAATTTCCCTGTCTCGGCTGATTAAGTTGATCTTAAACAGACTGTGATTTAGAGGAAAAAGGAAAACCAAGTATTCTAACAGTTTCAAACCATTTATCTTGATTAAAAGGACAGTCTTTATATCCAAACAAGCCTGTCTTATTTAAACCTGCATGGAGAAAAGGACTTCATCCTGAGTAATGGGTGATCAGTATTTTCTATAATCTTTTATAAAAATCCGAGTTGAAAGGATACTTTAGAAACACACAAAGAGATCTAGAAATGGACCTATTTCTGTATTAAAATGAAACCAAAACCAACCAACCAACAAATAAGAATTCATGACCCTACAGACCCTCTAGTGATTGCCCTCTTTCCTTCTCTTTCCACCTTTATGCTTGAAGGTCACACTGTCTCCATTTTCCTCACCTCCTTTTTGTACCTGCAGCCCATCTGCCATCTGATGCTGCCCCCATCCTTCCTCCAAAACCACGTCTTGCCAGGTCAACCATCTCTCCTTGTTGTCAAATCCAGTGAGGTTTTTCAACCTTATTCTATACGAGTCAGTTCCAGATTTTAACACTTCTCTCTTCCCTGGGCTTCTGGAACACTAATGCCCCTGCGTCTTGCTCCTTTAAAAACACTATCTATCTATCATGTGCCGCGAACTCTGCTGAGGATTTTACGTATGTCCCTGTGAAAGGTGTGTTATGATTGTCCTTTTACAAGGAGAAAAGTGGCTTGGAGAGCCTGGCCCAAGGTCACAAAGCTGGAATGTGCCTGCATTCACGGGGCTGCTTCCCGGGGCCATGATCTTCATTTGGCAGCTAGAACCATGAGGACAAGAAGAACGAGCCCTGACACACCTCAGCAGCTGACACATTGTCTTAGTCTGAATTTTGCCATTTTAAATGGAAAAGATGTCTTAGGCAGGGCATAGAACTTCTGCAAATAGTTCCTTTGGGTCGGGTACCAGGAAAGCTTTGCATATACTCTTCCTCAAGTCATCGGCAGAACGAGCCAGGAGACCATGAGCGTTATTCTCTCTGTTTTACAGTTAAGGAAACAATGGTTAAAAGAGGTCGCCTCTGATTACAGATTACAGAGCCCCTTAGTGGCAGGGCTCAAATTCCTCCTCAGGTAAGAGTGACTCTGAAGTGATGCTCAGAAGCTGCCCTTCTCCCCAGTGCTCCTGCAGGAGTGTCCCCCCCCCATCTACATGGCCCCCCAAATCTAGTCCTCTCCTCCCTCCATCTCCTCATTGCATGCTCTATGCAGGAAGACCTCAACCATACACATGTACTCAACCTTGCGCTGTCAACCCCAAGTCAGCATCTCCAGGCTTTCTAGGTCCAAAACCATTCATCTCTCTTCCAGTGACAGTATCCATTTTCATGTTCCAAAGTCATCTCAATCAAAGGAACAAGAAAAGTCAAAAGAAAAAAAAAACACAGACATAGTCATCTTTCCGCCAAAACTTAAATGTCTTCCCCCTGCACTTCCTCTCCTGGTGACAGCTCCATCATTTGTACCATCGATCAGGCAAGAAATGTGAGAGTCGTTCTTAGCCCAACCTCATCTCCCTCGCCCTCTTCATCAAGGTGGTCCCTAAGTTCTATTCGCTCCATCTTACCATAGGTTGCATCAGCCCCCTCTCCTCTTGACTCACCTTGCTCCCACTTTCATCTATGCCCTCATCTTTTTGGCCAGGATTCCTTCAGTTTCCTCCTGACTGGTCTGTCTCCAACGTTGCAGGCCTCTGACATTTACCTCTAAAATGCTGCAAAGCAATCTTTCTACCTGCATTGTCACCCTGCTGCTTAAACTCTGATGTGACATGGCTGGTTGCCCTCTCAATCTCCATCTCATCCATGTCCCCATTGGATGGCAGCCGTGTGTTTGTGCAAGTTTGACTCCTCCTCCCGTTCATGGATGGGCAATATTTCCCACATTAGTTTGTCAACTCATGGAATTCCCTGTGACTTAGGGTGAGCATGGAACCCACTTGGTCTAATCAGGATGACAGGACAATCTCAGGATGTTTGTTGGATCATTAAAAGAAAAACTTAAACTTCCTCTTATCTCTGACATAAGTATTGGCAGCCATCTTGCAACAAAAAGGCAAGTCAGCCTTAGGTTAAAGATGACATTTCCAAGATTCTCAGGTCTAAGCAATTTTTTAAAAAGTCATTCAGGAGAACATGTACATGTCAGGTCTTCTGGGATGTGTCTTTCAATCCAGAGGTTTTCTCTGTGTGTACATGACATTGTTAAAAATTCTGTGAAGATAATTTAATTTGTATAAAATTACATTAGGTTGATCCATATGAAATTGCAGTTTTTGTGGGTCAAAAATGTGGAATGTTGCCATTTCGTATCGTTCAAGCTGATAAATGTCCATCTCTCCATCTATCTTTTGAAGTTCCTTAAAAGCAAGGACCACTTTTACGTTGCTAGAGCCCAGCAGTATGTCTTTCTAGTATTTCAATAAATGTTTGTGGAATTGAATTGAATGGATAAATTCAATATAATGCTCTGTTTCTCAGATAAGGCTCTACATTCTCCTCCTACTTTCCTGAGGCCTTCTTCCCAATATCCTTCCTTACCCACAACCCTCTAAAGGTGAGAAGTCCCAAGGTCTTTTCTTTTCACTTAAGACACTTTTCATAAAGTCTCATAGACTCCCATGGATTTGTCTACTCACCGCACCCCACCGCCCGCCACATACACACACACACACACACACACACACACACACACACACAGGCATTTGCCACACTTAGGTCTCCAGTTTCCACTCCTTTCCCAAACTCTACACTGACATTTCCAATTACCTATAGGACATCTTATGTAGATGTCCTCTCTCTATAGACATCTCAAAATAGAACTCACTGGGTGTCTCTTCCCTCTACACAGAAGTTTCCTACAGCTCTGCTCGTCTTCTTTTACAGCCTGTCCTAATTAATAGCACCACATCTTCCCAGTGGCACAGGCTCAAAACATTGTCATCGTCTTAGACTAAATCATGGTCAATTGTCAAATTCTGGTTCCATGCTCATTCTGTTTCTAAGCCATCTCTCTTCCATTTCCTCCTTCTTACACCCACTGCCAACGCCCCAGTTCACTGGCAAGTCTCTTCCCCCTTAAACATCCTCTATTCTGTGGAAAGAGTAATCTTTCTATGAAATTTCTATAATCTTTCTAGAAAATGTTTCCATAGTATAATCTTATCATACATCTTCCCTTCTCAGAATGTTTAATGATTTTTCATTGATATAACACAAATACACAACGTAAATATTACGAGAAAGTTAAGGTAGAAGAAAGATGAAAATGTGAAATAGTTAGTCAGGATAGACAGCCTTTGAGTCAGATTTTGTATGAAGAGAGAGGAATAATCTTAACTAAGCCAGCAGGAAGCCGAGATGTTGTCAAGAGAGAGGAATTGATGAGAATTCCTTTCTGGTCCCAACGCTTCAGAAATTACTGCATCTAAGTCAGAAAATGGCATTCGTCAGACTGTCTGTATCAGATGACTAACATTAATTATTTTTGACAGTCTAAGTATTTCCATTGAAAAAGTGAGAAACAAAGCAGAAAAAACTGTAAGACCTTTGTTGTTAGCATTTTCATGCTATCGCAATACTCTTACGTTCGTTAATGATTCAAAGGGAAATGGAAGCACGGACAGGCTTGCTACTGAAAAACAGGCCAGATGTTTAAGACTTGATTTGAAGAGTTACTTTTGACTCTTGCAGATGTAGAACATATTTGAGTATTTGTTCTGGGAACACATTTTGAGATTCTGCCAAGCTGAATCAGCATCCCCTGGATCAAGGTGGCAAAGAACTATTTCAAATGTCTTAGAAGTAGGTGAGGTATTCATCAATCAACCGACAAATATCCTTGGACTCATTTTGTTTCAGTTCCCATATTTTCGTAGGGCACATAAAAGGGAACAATCTGGTTTTGAAAATATTCATACTAAAATAATGTAATACCTATGTCGGCCCAATGTTACATCAACTTCCAAAGTAGTTACATCAAATTCTGAAGTACGTAGAATATAAATTAGGATTTTTTTTCCAGCACTCCTGGAAATATCTGAATTAGCGCTATTATCAGAGTTATATTAACATATTTAAGCAGAAGTCTCATTCCTTCCCACAAGCTACCAAATTCCCAATCCTGTTTGAGGGTTCTAGTGACATTTTATATTAGACAGTATTACACCAAGGGACCAAGAATCCCCAAATTCTGCCTGCCTTCTTCACCATGCACTTCTCAGGAAGGCTGTTCTTAAGAAAGAGTAACTAAATGAAAATAATATCAGGAATAATATTAATAATTCATCCAGCCCAGTAACTCTTTATGTAAGGCCATCTGGTAAAAGCCAGTTCGGTCATTTGCTTAGGAAACCTCGAGACCTAAGTGGAGATTCCAGTCTCTCCTGCTGAGTCTGGCAGGAGGAAGGGAAGTAGGAGAGGTGTGCGACAGCATGTCCAGAAGCTTGTTCCAGGAATGCGGGGTGAAATTCTGCCTACCTTCCAACCACCCTGAATCCCTCTGAATCCCCTTACCCACACAGCCCGGTGGACTCAGCCCCCGGGAGAGGAAGCATCACTACACAGAGGAAATACATGGAGGGTGCCAGAAAATAACACTCATGGGCACAGCTTTTTAATGTAGTTTAACTCTGCCCACTAGAGAATATGTCTCAATGGTTGCCTCAGATTCTGACCAATCAAATTATCACTCTCTTCCCGCAGGGGCGGGGTGGGGCAGCCAGCGAGCAGGGAGTGGGCAGAGGCAGATATGACCAAGGGAATGTGGCCATTGCATCCCTTCCCCCACCATTCTGTGTGTCTGCCATTGTAAGTGTCTGATCACGTGGGGGCGCTGGCCCCTTGGCCCTTCTGTATCATTCACTCATCTGACCCTTGATCCACATTCCTCCAACAATGGTCTAGTTCCCATTAGGCTGAGAGAGATGGTTTCATCTGCTTCCACCTAGTACGCACCTTACCATTCGCAGGCCCAGTTTCCGTTGCTGCAGAACACTGCCCAGAATTCATGAGAGCAAGGACTTAGGTCTCCTCTTCCAGCCCTTTCCCACCACTCAGAGTAGCATTTTCACCTTTTGGAAGCCTTTGCTGTGAATAAATCTTCTTATGGCACTTCTTACAAGACTAGCGGGTATTGGTTTCCTTTTTAATTTTAATTATGAAAGAAGTTCATCCTTTTTGAAAGAAGAATCAAACAAAAGAGAAATATATACAGTAAAACATGAAAATCACCTTATCTCAACATCTCCTGTCCACATTGGCTAGAGGCGAGACACTTGTTTTAGCTCAGGCAACAACAAAATACCACAGACTTGGGGGCTGAACCAACAGACATTTATTTTCTCACAGTTCTGGAGGCTGGAAGCCCAAGATCAAGGTACCAGCAGGGTTGGTTTCTGGTGCGGCCTCTCTTGCTGGCTTGTAGACGACTGCCGTCTCACAGTGTCCGCACGTGGCAGGGAGAGACAAGCGAACTCTCTGGTCTCTCTTTTTATAAGGGCACTAATCCCACCAGGAGGGCCCCACCCTCATGACCTCACCTAACTCTAATCACCTCCCACAGGCCCATCTCCAAGCACCATCACGTTGGGGGCCAGGGCTCCAAAATACGGATTTGGGGGGAGGGACACAATTCTGTCCACCACAACACTGTTAAATATTTAGTGTGCTTTCTTCCAGACCTTTCTCTAAACCAAGGGAGGGTGGAGAGGAAGAGAGGGAGAGATTGTTCCTCTTTATTACAAACTTACTATTCTGTAAGTTCTTTTATTCACAGGTTTTTTCTCATGGCTATCTTTTCAGGTCAGCGCATAGAGATCCTTCTACTCATTTCAGTGACTTCATATTAGTAAACAGTATGAGATATATCACTTAGTAAAATAACATCTGGGTTCAAAAAGCAGATTGAACAAATACATGTATATGTACCCCCTTTCAAATGTCTCATTGAAATTATATATATTTTTGAAAGATATATATTTGAATTATATATGCATTATAAATGTATACAATTTAAAATCATATCCACTGTATACGTAATATATAATTTGAATAGATATACGTATTTGAAATCACAACAACCCTAAACCCCCGAAAAACAAGAAAGTCTCTCTCTCGACAGCAGAACAGACATTCTGAGTAATTCCTAGCAGGAATAAAGCATAGGGAAGTTATAAAAACTGATGAATCCAAACACTTGAATCTGAACAACCAGGTTTCCTCAGCACGACAAATGAAACAATAGGAACCGTCCCAGGCCATCATGGGCTGTTTCTCTTACACAGCCTGTTTTATTTTGTTGCTGTTGTTGTTTTGGGTTTTTTTTTTTCCTGAGGAAGATTAGCCCTGAGCTAACTGCTGCCCATCCTCCTCTTTTTGCTGAGGAAGGCTGGCCCTGAGCTCACATCTGTGCCCTTCTTCTTCCACTTTATATGTGGGACGCCTGCCACAGCATGGTGTGCTAAGCAGTGCCATCACCGCACCCAGGATCCAAACCGGCGAACCCGGGCCACCCAAGCAGAACATGCGCACTTAACCACTGCACCACCGGGCTGGCCCTCACACAGTCCATTTTAAAAAGCTGTGATCTGTGACCGCCGGGACCCTCCTCCTCCTCTTCTCCTCCCCCTCTAGATAGGGAGGACTTTTCCTCCAAGATAAAGCCCAAGAATGGGCCTTTGAAGGAGAGGTTTGCTGGAGGAGGGCACCCAGTGACAACACTGGGGCCCGAGAGAGATGCTTACAGAAGCTGCTTTAATTCCAGATCTCCACAACAGACACAGAGACATTTGGGGGTGAAAGGGGAGGAAAGACAATGCTGCCAGGGAATGAGTTAAAGTAACGACTTCCACCTCCAGGATGAAGGACTCCTTCTCATGGCAACTATCTAGGTACCGTCTCTCCGTCCACACACCTGAAGAGCATCTTGCCTCTGAGCATGTCCAACGCAGGGACAGAGCCAGCAATCAGCTCTTCCATTCAAGGAGCCTATAAGCAAGGAAACACTGCCGAATGGAAATCAAAACAGCGCTTTATTAACAGACAAGTCAAGCTCAATACCCGCCTGCTCAGAGCTACCTGTTAGAACCTGGGTTGGAGAAGCAACTCCCAGGTGTAGCAGATGCTCTTGGTGTCCCTGCCCATAGCCCTCTGCAGGCACTCACCTTCCCAAGTCAGCTTGATGGCTTCCTACTGCTCATTCCGGTGGCATCTGGCTTTCTCTGGCTGCAGGAGTGCTCTCAGCCTGTGCACAGGGCAGGCTAAAAGAGCCCAAAGCAGCCTTCAACCAATCAGGAATGGGCGTTAGTGAGCAATGCTGCAGCTTCCTCATCTGTCAGGTGTCAGGTGTGTTCTACACACCCAGAGGTCCCCAGTGGGACCGAGCACCAGCTGCCCACTAGAGTAACCTGCTCATTAACGCAGCTGTATTGGCTTCCCTCGCTTGCCAGTCCTGCCGCACTCCCCCTAACCCCTACTGGGGCTTCCCGGATCACCTCCAAAGGAACCGGCTTGCCCTTGAATCCTCGTCTCAGGGCCTCCATCTGGGGGAACCAAACCTAAGACTCTAAGCCTCGCAGTCTTCTCTACTATTTGCAATTTTTATCCTTTTCCAAATGCATAAAAGTCAGAGAAGCTTGGGGCTGGCCCCGTGGCCGAGTGGTTAAGTTCGCGCGCTCCGCTGCAGGTGGCCCAGTGTTTCGTTAGTTCGAATCCTGGGCGCGGACATGGCACTGCTCATCAGACCACGCTGAGGCAGCGTCCCACATGCCACAACTAGAAGAACCCACAACGAAGAATACACAACTATGTACCGGGGGGCTTTGGGGAGAAAAAGGAAAAAATAAAATCTTAAAAAAAAAAAAAAAAAGTCAGAGAAGCTTGTATTAACCCAGGGAAGGCTTTCATTTTCAGAAGTCTTTAGAAACATTAAAAAATAAATAAACAGAAGTAAAATTTATTTTTAAAAAAGCATCTGACTTCAATCTTCTTAGGAGACAAATTGATAACAAAGCTTTTCTAAAATCTTAATTAATTGATGGAGACCCCAATGCTCACATTATCAAGAAGTCCAGGATCTCCTTCCTGAGGTCCATTCTCCTAGCCCACCCCCTCACATATTCTCCAATGACCACAGGCAGAGAGAGAAATGGAAAGTGTAACCAGTCCTCTAAGAAGACCTCAGCTGGTTTTGCCATTGTTCTCGTTGCTGCTAGTGAAACTGGTTCTTTAAGCCTTTTCTCCCCATTGGAGGAATTCCTTCCTTCGGCCAATGTCCTCAGTGACCTGGTTCCCAGAACTGGCTTCAGGAGGGTGCCATGCCCAGGCTTCCAGGGCGAGAATCCCAGGCTTGGCCTTGGACCAATGAGCTCAACCACCTGGGACCACTTGGATGTTGAGAGAAGAGTCAGGAGCATCTGCTCCAAAGAGATTGTCTGCATTTACCCAAGCCAAGGGGAAACTGGAAGCATCTCTTGATAAACAGATAACACGCAATGTCACTGAGTCAACGAATGCTTTGAAAAACTCCTGGAAGGATACCTGTCAAAATGTACATGTGGTTGTGTCTACATGGTGAAATTGGTGCTGATGTTTATTTTTCTTTTAGTTTCCATATTTTCTAAATATCTTCCATTAACAAATATCTATTGAGTGTTTCTTATGTTCCAGGGACTTCCCAGGCACCAGGAACGCATGAAATAGCAGGATGGACAAAACGCCTCCCCTCATGGACCTGCCATTCTAGTGAGGGAGCGGCACTAATGAGTTGGCACACAAGTAGAATATGTCAGCTCATGGTGAGTGCTCTGAAGAATGCTAAAGCAGGACGAGACGCCGAGAGTGGCCCGGGGCGGGAGGGCACAGGTGCAAGGGTGGCTGCCAACCACTAGATGAGAAGCCATCCAGAAATTCTCCATTACCAAGGAGAAGTACTGTATTTCTCCTAATGTACGAATACATTACAGTATCCATCTTCTTTTTTTTTCAGGAAAATTACATAAACTGTTGGAAAGAAATTCATCTTTATCTTGCATTTCAGACTAAAACTGTATTACTTACCTTCTGTATAAAACATCTGAAGTTATCTAAAACTGGATCAATTTATGTTAGAAATAACTTTAAAGATGTGTTTTTTCCAACTAAATTCAGGTTTTGTATGTATCATTTTGCCTAATTATTCTGCTTTTTCCCTCCTCCCCCTCACCCTCTGGGTTTTTGCTCTCCAAACCTGCCTGCCAAGGTCGTCCAATGCATAGCAGCAGGCTCCACAATCGATGTGAACTGCCCTGGCCACAATGGCCACTGCCATCCACCTCCATTCTTGTGGATGTCTCCGTGACATGTGGACATGACAGCCCACACGTTGAGTGAGTGACAAGTCATTCTTTGTCATCTAAATCCTCAGGCCAGGCAGGCCAGCACAAGCTTCAGAGGTGAGGACTCAGAATAACCCCTTTTCACCATGTGGAGTTGGAGTCGCTGAAGTTGGCTGCCTTTGGCAGCCTGAACATCCCTGCTGGATGTTTTCTCGTTAACACAGAGCCTCTCACTCACCAAGAAACAGCAATCCACAAGCACATTTACCCTGCTCCTCTGGAAACGGCCTGCTTGACTTTCTTCTTCTTCTCAGGTCCTCAGACATTTCCAACTGCAACACAGGGTGTTCCAGGAGCCACTTCACAGCTCGTCCACTGTGGCCAGGAGCCACGCACTTACTCAACACGTACTTACACAACACACAACACACTTACACACACTTACAAAACAGCTCTCAGTGGTGCTTCAGAGAAGGTCAGGGTCAGAAGCCAAGGAGAGAAATCTGCTTAGTGGAGAATCTCTTAATGAGACACCAGAGGAGACCAAAAATTATTGTATGGAAAAGAGCTCAGGCGGTTGAGCTAAAACAGTTGCTGTAAACAATTTCTAAAATTCTTAAAGAAAACACTGCTAGAATTTAACTGAAAGTGCCCACATTCTGCCGTTGAAAACTCTAAATGTGGTATGAATAAAATCTCTACCATTCAGCCTTGGGAAGTAGAAAGGGGCTGCCCGGCCTCCCCCACTGGATCCACTAAGACCCTCAATGAGACAGCTTTGTGCTTCTCCTCGGGGGCCAAAGGGGAGCAGAGTACTGAGTCAGGACAGGCTTCAGTTATTAAAGCTGAGAGCCAGGGAGATAAAAAGACCTTTGAACGGAGACATCCCACCCAGTCCATGCAGCAAATCTGGACCAATTTATTCAGGGGAGCACCCTATTTACTTCTCTTAAAAGTAATTCCAATAACATTGATTATCTAGTTTTCCAACCCACTGCAGATTAGAAGAGGCAAATAAGAAAATGGGCAGGGAAGCTGTTAGAAGCAAGAACATTGATCTAAAAACAAAAAATGACTCGTGATAGAAGTAACAGGTGTTGGTTAGAGAAGAGATTAAAAAGAATTTTGAAAGCAAACAAGAAACTCCAAAACAAGGCAGTGCAGGCTCTTGTGGGGATGAGGCAGAACATTCTCGCCCCTTCACCCGCTCTTGAAGATGCCGCAGTAACTGGTACTCATAATGAAGCTTTCAGGGAGTCAACAGCGAATACACCTAACGTTCAGTATCCTGGTTGAATGAAGTGGAGGGAGTGTGTTTTAGACAATTTCCCATGAAAAATGATCATGTAAGGAGAGCTGACTGCACAGGGGCATGGAAGAATTTTTGGGGTGACAGAGATGATCTCCATCTTGATTAGGATGGGGGTTACATGGATGTACACATTTGCCAATTCATCGAACGCTACACTAAAAGGGATGCATCTTATTGTATGTAAATTACACCTCAATGAAATCGATATAAAAAGTAAAAATAAGATTCAAGTTAAAACTTGGCACTTCCAGGGCAAGAGTTAACCATCTGGGAAGTCACTGACACATGCAGTGTCTACTTCCAGGTTATCCAGGCTATTTACATTAATTCAAGATGGCTTTACTGTGCCCACAACTGTATTGGGTCCTGAGAATACACAAATTGGGGAAATATAGTCCCTGCCTTGGAAAGACTCCTAGTTTAATGAATTTCCTGGCTAAAGGATGCATTACTTTACTTTAAAACTCTTTGCACATTCGAACATGGCATTGGGGGAATTAAGGACCAGAGAGAATCTGACCTAGGTGATACTTGTTGCTCACCTCTTCTCTCGGGTTTTGCTGACCTAGACAGTTTCCTGCATTTGGAATAAAGCCCTCCTTTTCAAGCATCATTTTAAATGGGAATCATTACCATACCCCTCACCAAGCAAAAACTCAAGGGGGTTGCCGGCAGAGTGGAATTTCCTCCAGAATTGTGAGCAATAAACAAGACTTGTCACAAGCTGTCAGAATCTAGTAGCCTTGAAACCACCTATTTGGTGAGAGAGGAGGCAGGGCCTTGAAGAAGCGTGCTGGAATTCCCCAGACTCAGCCAGGAGGAACCATTTCCACACTGAATAGCCTGAGACTGTCTGTGAAAATCTATCAAAAGTGACAAATACAAAAGTAGAAACAGATTAGAAGAGTGAAAAGAATAGCACCTTGGCCAGACGCAGGGTTCTATCCATATTTGCTGAATGAATGAGGAAAATACAAGCTTTGCTCGCACGGCTACTTTATAATTTAACATGCTCTAAAGCTAAGACTCTGACAAAGCGACGTGATTCAGTCCCTGGGGGTGGCAGCTCCGTGTGTTTTCCCTCCACCCAATCCTCCCCTCCCCCAGCCGCATCCAGATTCCCAGACGTTTGCGTGCTCACTCGGACGGCACCCGGAAGTTTCTGTTTGTCTTGGGACCTGTAGCCGCGGAAGTAACCCCTGGCTCAGTGCTAACCTTGGCCTATTTCGGATGGACGGTGCACCGGTCAGGGCCCAGCAAGAAGGAGGGTCCAGCCCGGACTGTAATTATCTTAAGGAAGGGAATGCTCACAGAGTTTTGGGCACATTTCAGGGAACCAGAGAGGGGTGGCAAGGCACCCAGACACTAGCAACAGTGGGAAGCCATTATCACCCCCAGGCTGAGGGTCACCAGATTCAAATAAAAATGCAGGACATTCAACTAAATTTGGATTTTAGATAAACAATGAACAGTTTTTTAGTATAAGTGTGTCTCAAATACTGTATACACTTAAAAATTATCGGTTGCTTACCTGAAATGTAAACTTATATATATATATATTTTTTTTTTTTTGGAGGGAAGATTAACCCAGAGCTAACCGCTGCCAATCCTCCTCTTTTTGCTGAGAAAGAGTGGCCCTGTGCTAACATCCGTGCCCATCTTCCTCTACTTTACATGTGGGATGCCTACCATAGCATGGCGTGCCACGCGGTGCGATGTCCGCACCCAGGATCCGACCTGGCGAACCCCGCGCTGCCGAGGCGGAACGTGCACACTTAACCACTGCACCATGGGGCCAGCCCCCCTGAAACGTAAATTTAGCTGAGTGTTCTGTATTTTATCTGGATCCCTACCCAGGCCTGAAGAGCAACACAGTGTCACAGGAGCCCCGTGGGAGCTGGAGCCCGGGAGGAGGGCCGGCCCTGCAGGAGCGTTGGTCATGGAGGCCCACCCGTCAGAAATGGACCCACCGCAGCGATGAGCAAGGAAGAAAGACACGACCTCTCTCTCCTCTTGCCCTCTCCTCTCCTGCAGCACCTCCCACTGGCTGAACAGATCAGAAACCAGCTGCCAAGAGGGCCTGGTTGCTACAACCCTTAGGCATTGGTCTCCTGACGCGAAGAGGTGGGCAAAGAAGCGTTTTCTGCTAGAGGCATTTTCTATTCCCTTCTAGAAGACTTTGAGGATTCTTTTTGTTTCTTAAAACCACCAGTAAAACTAGATTCATTGAAAGCAGATATTTATATAAACAGTGGCCTCCAAAGAATTATACAATAACAACAGAGTCCAAATTTCATATGAACATATTTACACATATACCTCTTTCTAAATGTGGATGTGTTCATGTCACAGGAAGCTGGAGAAGGTATAATAATGAGCAAAGGTAACAAATTGTTTCTTGAACTGGTGGAAACTTCTTGGCTTGTACCTGGGAACTATCTCAAGAGAAAAACGAGTCATTCCATTGGCCATACTTTTGCTCAAAGTTAAAAACAAAACACTGTGGCAAGTTTAATTTGCAATCACAGTTGAAAGAATGAAGCCATTTTTTTTAGTAGTAAGCATTATAACTAAATTCTTCTATCATTTCTAACCTCTTTGCCCCCTCCAAGATTGAGTTATACATTAAAGACAGTGAAACTGAAGTCAGCGCCTAAAAGTGAAGTCACATACACACACCTTAATTTAGTGAGTTGGGGCAGGAGCGTCCAGAAACGGTGAGGAAACCACTAGGTGAACACCCTAGGTTTTACTCCTCGTTCTGCCTCCTGATTACTCTCATCTTTTCATGCAAGTGCAAGTCACGTAGCCTCTCTAGGCCCCAGTTTTTTCATCTGTATAAGAAGGGGTTTGGTTTTGAGCCGCTAGGCGTTTTCCTGATCTACAAGTCTGTGAATCCAACGTATACTTCAGAAACTCACTTCCCGATAATCCCAAGGGGGAGAGTAAGTAGAAATCGTATCCAACTGTATTAACAAAGGTGGCTTCCCTACAGGGAAATTACCAAGGGGACTGGCCACGCCCATTGGAGTCAGCCTCCATTCAGCTGAGATTTCACCTTCTGGGTTCAAGAGGAGCTGTCACTAGTGTAGGAAGGGAGGGGGGAAGGAAATCCTTCCTGAATACCTATTACAGGATAAAGAGGCAAGTTTTCCTCTCCCATAAACCCTAAAAGGGACTTTTTTCACCAAAGGAACAAAAGCCCCAATTTCCAATTCCCAGAGGATCCAACCAATGGCCAAAGAGAGAGAGCGCAAAAGGGAAAAATCCCTACAACAAATGGACCACCTTCATAGAAGCCTGTATTCTTAATTTTAGCTCATCTGTTTATGAATGTTGTATCTGTTCATGTCCTGGCTTCATGCACTAACTTTTAGTCCCCGTGTTCAGTGGCCACAAGTACAAAGCAAGACACCTTCAACACTTTGCACGAGAATGTGAGACTCTACTGTACCCACTCCGGGAGCAGCAGAAGAAAATGTTTGGTCCCCTCAGAAGTTTGAAGGAGCATCCTTACTCTTTGCTCAGCTCAGAGGACCAAAAGGAAAACAAGTGCCTACATCCATTGCCCCACATCTGAACTGCACCATTTCAGGGTAGAAATCTGATCCTTGTTTATCTGTCCTAGCTGAAGAGTTCTACATGTCCAGGTGGTCCACCTAGATCTCAAATTGCACAGCCTAGAAAGATCCCACACATAGGAGCTTATGTAGATTGTGGGGTGCAGAGAAAGCAGCCCCACACTAAATCCTCCTTAGTAAAGAGAGAGCAATGCGGATTCTTGTGCATGAACAGTTTGCAGATCACCCACAGAAAGACCACATTTAAAGAAAAAGCCTTCCACATTATAATGAGCCAGGGGCATCCCAATGTGATGGTAATGTTCTCCAGCCTTTGAAGTCTGCAAGGAATATGAGAGTCCAACTGGAGTTTCCACGGGGCCACCGCGAGGACCCCACAGGACTGTGTGAAAGGGGGTCCTGCAGGCATTCATCCTCAGTTCCCATCTATAAAACCCCCAAATTTAAAGAGACAGCTGCTGTTCATGCTCTTAAAACGATATCTGGAGGGAGGCGTGGGGCTCGCCTCGAGCTGCTGGCCCAGCAGTCAGTCTGATGAGAAACGCAGTTGAAAGAACAGACGGGAAAGCCAAATACCTGTCAGTCTCCTTCACACTCCAGTGTTGCCAGAAGGTCTATAAAAATGTCATTGTCTCTCAGCTGCCGGTGATTATATTACCCTTTACATTGGCTGTTGGTAATAAAAAAAAAAGCAAATATCATTTTTGCACTGCTCTGGCCTTCCTCTGGCCTTTTTCAAACAATAATAGACTAAATATAAAGAGACAGAAGTCATTACTTGGCTCTTTAACTAGTGCCAAGGAAAATGAATAATTAAGGAAACATTACTTGAAAGAAATTTACACTGTTGCTTTTAAGTTAGAACCAAATAAGAACTCTTTAAAAATACATCATTTCCCCCTTTATCTTAACAGAGCGTTCGTTCTCTGGCATAATATATTATGGTTGCTACTGTTTAGATCTTACCAGAAAAAAATGCTTTTAGTTTCCATTATCCTATTCTGGGTCCCAAATCAAACAGAGACCCCGAGGAGCGAGAGAAAGGGGGTGGGAGGGAGAAGCGGCTGTGTGTGCACAGCTTCCTTCTCGTCAATGTTTGATTTTGTTCACCTAGGACAGCAAGCCCCACGCACGGCTCTCTGGCTCCCCTTGAACATCCACCTCATTGTCAGCAGCCTGCTTCACTTTTAGAGCGTGTGCTCAATTTGCTCTTCCAAGTTGCCGAGGAGAAGCGTGCACAAGAGACCTGGCACGGGCACCCACGTCGGAATGCTGCTGGGCAAGGCTGGTTCTCAGTGGGCGACAGTGAGTCTCCTCGCTCTCTCTGTCTCTCCCTGTCTCTCTCTCCCTCTCACTCCATCTCTCTTCTTTCCTCCCACTGGGGTCTTCAGCTTCCCTTAGGCAGGGAGAATCCCACAGAGCTGGCGCCAGACTCAATGCGACACCCTACATACGGTCCCTGCCCAGGTAGCAATCCTGATCAGTTAGAGGGAGTGTAGGGCAAGTCCCGGGCTTGGAGGGACTTTGCTCAGCCTGGGACAATGAGAGCAGGCAATTCTGAGGCCGCAAGCACGTCCAGTGCTGCTGTGCCAGAACCAGAATCAACGTGAAGCCTGAGCGAGTCAAGGCTCATCAATGTGAGGCTACAATCAGAGACAATCCGGCTCCCAGACGCGGACCCAGGGTACTGTATCCATGAGGCCTGAAGCAGCAGTCCCTAGGAATCCTTCGACTTGTGGTCAGATAGATGGTCTATATCCTCTCTTCTCAAACGCCCTGCACTCCGCTCCTGGCCACTTCAGGCGGCAGAGCCCTGCTCCGTTCCTCTCTGGTAGGGGCTGATTTTTACCCCCCCAAGTCATATGTTGAAGTCCCAACCTTCAGTACCTCAGACTGTGACTATTTGGAGAGAGGGTTTTTAAACAGGTGAGTATGTTAAACCGAAGCTGTTAGATGGGGCCAGTCCCATGGCCAAGTGGTTAAAGTTCTGCCTGCTCCTCTTCAGCGGCCTGGGGTTTGCAGTTTCAGATCCTGGGTGCAGACGTACTCCACTCACAGCCATGCTGTGGAGGGGTCCCACATACAAAATAGAGGGTAACTGGCACAGACGTTAGCTCAAGGCGAAACTTCCTCCCCCCCCAAAAAAATGAGGCCGTTAGAGTGGGGCCCTAATCCAATAGCGTGGTGTCCTCATAAGAAGATGAAGAGACACCAGAGGTGCACACACACAGAGAGACGGCCACATGACGAGGCAGCAGGAGGGCAGCTGTCAGCAAGCCAAGAAAAAGGCCTCAGAGGAAACCAACCCCGCAACACCCTGATCCTGGACTTCTCTAGAACTGTGAGAAAGTTAATTTCTGTTGTTGAAGCCCCCTAGTCTGTTGTATTTTGTTACAGCAGCCCCAGCAAACTAATACACTCTATAAAGGTCAATCTTTCACCCCTTCCTGAAGTTACTGCATTAGTTTCCTGGGGCCATAATAACCAAGTACACAAACTGGGTGTCTTAGAACAGCAGAAATGTAACGTCTCACAGTTCAGGAGGCTAGAAGTCCAAGGTCAAGGTGTAGGCAGGGTTGGTTCCTTCTGAGGACTGGGAGGGAGTATGTGTTCCACGTCTGACTCCTGGCTTCGGGTGGTTTGCTGGCAATCTGTATTGTTCCTGGATTATAGAAGCATCACCCCAATCTCTGCCTTCATCTTACTTGGCATCTCCTTGCATGTTTGTCTGCCTCTGTGTCCAAATTTCCTCTTTCTATAAAGATCCCAGTCATATTGGATCAGGGCCCATCCTCACGACCTCTTCTTAGCGTGATCACCTGCGAAGATCCTGTTTCCCAAGACGGTCCCATTCACAGACACTTGGCATTAGGACTTCCACAGCTTTTTGCGTAGCAGCTACACGTAACAACGCACTTGCTTTGGGAATGCCAAGGCCACAGTGATTTATGAGTGAGCATAGATGAAACCACCTTCATCTCTGCTTCTACACCTTCCCAGTCTACTCACTGATGCTCTGAGTTGTCTTATCAGAGAAGAGAACTTTTCTGGGCCCAGTAAGAAAGAAGGCTTCAACCTGAGGTGCCCTCTGAGAATCCTCGCCACAATACACATGCCTGAGAGGGGAGTTTTTCCTGCAGAGATGTCATCACCAGAGAGGGGCAGGATGAACGAAAGCACTGTTGTGTAAAGGGCCCCTGGTTGGGTCCAGCTGGAAGAGGAAGGAGAAAGGAAACTGAAGCAGGTTGGCAGCTGCAGAGATTTCCGTGTGTGTTGATTCAGACCCTTGCATTTATTTGTCTGTGTTATCCGCTGTGTAGACTTGGCCTCTGCATCCAGAGGAGTGAAGAGCGGTTCAAAGGAGCCACTGATGGAACTTACATGGTCACATTAGGCTCGGAGCAGAGAAAATCAGAGGAGAGTTGCAGATTCTTCTGACAAGACAAGACAGGAAGAGAAGAAGAAAGACTGACAGAGTCTTTAAAAGCCACCTTGACTTGTTTGCCTTGCCTGGAGGTGATTAATTATACATCATCACAGGAAAGACACATGTTTCGGAAATGCTCTTCAGTGAACTACATCCATTTGTGCTTTCACGGAGTCAATCTAGGTGATTAAGCAGAAAGGAGGTCTTGTATAAAGAGGAAACCTACAAAGCAGCTTCATTCCACACGTATTTGCTCTTTCAAAGCAAGTTCAGCAGGAAATCCGAATCACAGATGCAAACCTTTGCAGTTAATTTGTTCCCAGGGGCATATTTGGGGCCATTATCCCAGAAGCATATACACGAAAATCCCATTATTTGAAATATATTCACTGTAGTTCTGTTTCACTCTAGGCTGTGCATTGAGAAGTTATTAGTAAATAGGAAGAAAGTCAAGACCGATAAGGAGTCACTGGGGGACTTTATACCAACAGGAAGGAAACCAGCTTGGCAGCCCCCAGAGATTATCGTCAACGAGAGTTTGCTTAAAAATCACACATAGCAACCAGTCGTGGGCTGGGTTGTGTTTGTGTGTCTGTTGTGAAAATACAATCTAGGTGATTTATGTGAATTTGTGCCTTGAAAAGTGCCAGCCCACAAAGTCATCCCCACAATTCTGAAATGTCTTGTCTCAGGAGAATCCATCGTTCATACACCATCGAACTTTTGATGTCTACACAGTAAGGCACATGCGTGACCACTTTGCTGAAAAAAGAGATCAAATATCAACAAGGTAAGTTATTTAGAAGGCACTCTGGCATCCTTTCCCTCCAAGCCAGCCCTCCTTAACACCTCAGCAGCCAGAGCTACCTGTCCTACATTTCTTCTGGTATTGGTCCACTCCCGGCACAGCCTCCACCACACCCGGGGACCTCTCAGGCCTGATGTAGCAGCCATTTCTATGCTCTGTTATTGGGGTGCTCACACACCCCATCCCTCCCTGCTTCCTCCTGCCTTCTCCTCCATGCTTCAACAGAGCACCTCACTGCAGTGTGAGTACCCGATATCCACGCACGATGCTCGCTGTATTCTAGCAAGGTCCCATCCCGCTCCAGCCATCTCTTGGATGAGCTCAGCAGCTGCTGTACATTAGTGCAGAGATGGCAGCAAGAACCAGGCTGTTTTCCCCACAGCTGCTGGACCCCCACAGCCGTTCATACTCCCGGGGAACCCTGGCTCTGGCAGACTAGAATTCCAGGGCTGTGGCACCCCTCCTCTTTTGAATTAGCGATCTCTCTCCCCCTGCTCTCACGTGTATCATGCCCACGTCCGGTTTGGCCAGAAGGAGTGAACCATCCTCTCCCTCTTCTGAGAAACCCCCAGGAGGTATTCTGAGGGTGCTTCTGGAGCTCTGCATCGTGCGACCACGTGGGGACCTAACGAATTGCAATCCTTCACTTTGCTTCTCTTTTTCTCCAGGCAGAGCCGCGGTCTCTTTATGCACATTTCCTAACCCCCGAAACAGAGAGAGGGGGAAACTGCCAGGGATTGTCATCATCGTCGGCATCATCATATAACCAGTCCGGCCCTTACCAGTCCATTTGACTGTTTAACTCACTGTTAACCAGTCACTGTTAACCAGCCTCATCAGTTGTCTTAGTTCCACACAGACACAGGCCAAACCTTTCCGGGAAGTAAGCAGCCAACCTGCTGCGGTCCTGTGCACAGCCCTGGCTTGGGGTAGTACAAAAGCAGCAAAGACAGATTCATAAGTGACTTAAATGGCATTCAATGGGAAAATTGTTTAAACAGAAATGAATGGGACACCCTTACAATGGAATCTATGTGCTGGTTAACAAGAAAGAATCCGCCTCTGTTACTAACATGGATTTACCTTTAAGACATATTGCAAAGTGGAGAGGCAAATTAAGGAGCAATGTATATCACATGATACCCTGTGTGTTAAAATAAACATCCAAAACTATTTTGGGAGAGGGAGAGAAAAGAAAATGTCCGCTGCTTTATTTGTGCAGTTTTAAAAACAAATAAAAGGATAAGCTCTCTCCCTGGAGAAGCTTCCAGGCAACAAGGGAAGGCAAGACTAACAAACATGACGCATTTTGAAAGAGTTGTTCCCCTGTGTGATACGAGCTGTTCGACTAAGGTCACTGGGGGAGAGCCAGGAGTTGTCCTGGAGACCCACCTACAAAGGGCAGGAGCTGATGGAGGCTTCGAGGAATGGAGAAGAGGCGGCAAGATCGAAAAAAGGAAAGAGGCGATCAGACAAGGCACCGGATGTTGCTCTCTCTGGAGGAGGAGTGGAGCAAGGATAAGCTATACCCCCTTTCTTCATCCCCACCGCAAAGGTCATAAGCATTTTCTCAGGGTGATAAAGTCATTACAGAGGTTTGCTCTCTGGCAGTTCATAAAATCTTAGGGAAACATACATTTGTGGAAGGAATAGAAATATGCGTTCTACTTGCAAAGTTAAGTAAATATTGCATTTCCTTTAACATAAATAAAAATCAACATAAAACAAAAATAAGAATAAGAAGCAGCCCAGGGACAGGAGAGTATTTTAGCTCCTGACTGAGTTGTGATAATTCATTCCCCCCTCCTCGAATTACAACTATTTTAAATAGAAGCCCGTTAATTCTGTATTAATATCGCTTTTCTAATGAAAAATAGATTAAGAATCACCTTTCTAATTGCCCCAGACTGATTCTTCCTTTTAGTTATAACAAGCCACCTAGAGCCTCCTACTTAGGGGCCCTTCCTGGTTCCAAGAACTTCCAAGCGCCTCTCCGCAGCCTCCTTGTTGTAATAAAGGCGTGTGATGCCCGCAGTACCTCAGCTGCACGCAATTAATCCCCTACCAGGATGCTGCTGGATGAATGATTCAGCGACCTTTCAAAGGGCCCGGCTAATCTTTATGCACAAACAACATATGCTACAACAAAGTTAATCCAACGCGTCCATCAAGAAATTAAGCAGATTTATTCGCAGGGGAAGCGACTGCACCAGCAAACACACGAAGGCAGGCAGGAACACGGCACGTTCAGCAGAGCAGGACTCAGCCTTGCCCAGGATGAAATGCTCTCCCGCACCAAGGTCAGACAAGTCCTGGTGATTTAGACCAGAACTTCCATGCACCGCTGAAGGCTGCTCCTTTGGAAGTTAATACCATTTTGAGAAAAAAAGAGCTCGTGGTCAAATAAGTTTGATAAAGAGTTGGCCTAGTAGAAGTTGAACAGATTTTTTTCCTACTGCAGGACTTCTCAGAACCTTTATCACTGTGAATATGCACGGTGAATCCCCAGAAGGGCTAACAGCACTCAGCATTTCTCAAAACTTTCACAACCGAAGCCCTTTGTGGTCATCAGTACAGGGTTTAGGAATCAACAACTTTGATCATTGAGCATTTTTCTTGGGGAAATACATTTCCTGGGAAAGTGTAGAAGGCCCCAAACAACTCTAAGAACAATTGCAATTAGTTACTTGGAGTTACAGCAACCTGGGGGGCAAACCTCAAGCAAGCAATTACACTTTTTAATAGCTAAAGTCTGGCCTTTCCTTTCC